ACTGAACGGGTTCTGATGAGAACAGTGTAAGCGTTCAAGCAAACCACTTCTGAAGATGCAAGCCACTCGTGCTTGCGAAACGTCAAGAAGAAATTGTACCCAACGACGGCCTAAAAACCCGTTAGTTTCAACAGTTTAAGTATTGAGCGTTTGAAAAAAGTGTTGAAGCCCCAGTTCGATTGAAAAGCTGCAGCCCGGAAGCATTAGAAGCGACGATGAATATAGTGGGAAGCAACTGAGGCTTCAAAATAACGCTAATAAATTCCTATTGCCTTATGAATTTACATGCCAGCCTCGATAGCGTTTAATAATCACCAACAATGATTTGCACAGAATGGCTGTTTACCTTTGGCCTAATCAAAAATCGACCACACGGCGGTTTTCTAGCTCTCAACTCAAGGAATCAGCACTGTTTTAAAGATAACGGCTGGTCTGTTATCTCTTTAGTGTTGTTGTTGTGCTGCTTTGCTTGTTGGCCTGATCCAACATGTTTGATCGTGTAGGTACAGTTTTACTTCTGATGCGTTCGCAGAAAATTGAAACCTTCTACGATCACCCATTCTTATCTAAAGTTATTGCTGATGATTAATTTACGGATGTTCACAAAAAAACATTTTTTCTAAGGCAAGAAGTTGCGACATTGTACGGAAATCACCTTGTCTTATCACCAGCATCCTCGAGCGCCTTAATAGTTCCCAATCACTTATTGTTATCGGGCAATTCAGTAAACAACGTGAAAAATTCAGGGCAAACAAGCATGGAGGAGGATGCCTTGGTAGGTAAAATTTACCTGAAAAACCATCCCTCATCCCCAAAGTATCGCAACTAAGCTACGGAAATGGCAATTGGTGGAAACGCTTGCATCCGACAATCTTTAAATCCTTAACTGTTTTTTTTTAGATGGAAAACAAGGCGTTTAAGGAAACAGAAGCGGGAACCGAACTGAACCAAGTGACCATCCACGGGAACGTGAAAGCAACCACCACTTGCACCCCGCAGGTATGCAGGACGGCTAGGCAGCGATATCAACCCCCCGATCTGGCCAATAACAGCCCCTGGAACCAGAAGAAGACCTATTTCTTCATCGGGGTGATTTCGCTGCTCGTAGTGTGGATAATCGTGTACACAGTGGTTAGTGAACTAAAACTGGTATAAAGGAAAGTGAGTATTTAGTGAACTGTTTTTTGCTTATCTAAGCGCAGTCGAAGCAAATGCACCATGCAACAGTGTTAATAAATTTTATTGATAAATTTCTATATAAAATATTAAATTACTAAAGGTACATGATGAAAAAAAGGAGTATTTCGGTGGATATAACTAGACCCTTGCCGCAGTTACATACAACAGAGGGTGACAATTTTAAGCCTCTCGTTTGGAGGAAGCTTAACATTGGCGCTAGTGAATTGACTTAAAATCAGCATTCGACGAACAATTAACGTAGACATCTAGATAACAACCAACCCGAGTAAATAATTGTAGTTTTGCGACGTATAACTAGTGAGGTACAACTAAAAATGGATGAAACAGGATTCTTACCACCTTACAGACTTTTCCAGGCACTAAGTAGATGAAGGTAAAATATTATTGGGAGTTGTTCGCAAGGTATTTTTAATACTTGCAGAGAAGGATTAACTTTTTTCAATAGCATCAACGGTTAAAAGCCCGGTTTCTTGCACTTCCGAACAACTTCCAATAATCTTTTACCTCCATCCATTTAGCGCCCGAAACAGGCCTTTTAACCTGACTGGACTATTGGTGGATATTCGAATTTGGCAAGAGTGAGGGACGTTTCTCTGATAGAACACTAAAGCAAATCTACCGGGTGTCCGCGAAGTAAATCGTTGAGTAAAGGTGTCGTTGCATACAAAATATTGCAACATAGTCCAGTGTTTCTTACGTTTCGGACACCCGATACAATTTGAAGGGCCCAAGGAATTCTTGGTGGCACTCTACAGACTTGCAAAGTGCGCAAAGTTTGAAAAACCCCAGCACTTGCCGGTAAAACGGCTTCAGTACGACAAATTGCACGTTGGACGAAATTGTAATTGGCCTAGTTAGGATGAGCCCCTACAGCTTCCTACAACCGAGCTGAACTGACCAAAATTTGATTGTTGTGAGGATGAGCATTAACTTCCAGAGTTTTTTTAAGCAATAATCAAAATAGTTTCTGTTCAGAAAAGTGCTGCTTATGCTGTTCCAGATCCGATTTGAGGCATACGCCCCGGACGAATTTTGATTCCATAGATTAGCGAGAAAATGCGCTTTCCAAACGGCTGCCAGTCCTGTTTCCAACCACTTACCCGGGATTAGGAAATAGTGCAACCAGTACTTTCAGGTATCACCGAATCCTCGCCTAAATCCTCTTCGGGCGCACAGTTCACTCCAATGGCTGTAGCATCACTTTTGCCGTTCACAACACTGGCGCTGTTCTTCTGAGCGGCGTCCTGGCTTTGACTAGATTTGCGAGAACGTGGCTTCTGCAAGGAAGCCTTGTTGAGGCTTGCGGAAACCGCCTGCTGATATTCGACGATTCGCTGCTGCTGGATTTTCGTGTCTAGAATTCGCGACAGCACCGCCAGCTGGTTCTGGATGGCCAGCATGAAGGCCTTGTATCCGATGCTGGAATTACAGTCAATCTACCGTAGTCTAATGATGCGCTTTTGTACGTACCACTCGGTGGTTGTCCAGTAGTTCAAAATCAACAGCCCCTGCTTCAGTCTGGACACCGACTCGATGGAATGCTCGTGAGATTTAGCCGCGTTGACTGTCCGAAGAACCGCCATTGCGTCCCGAAGAAGCACTGCTATTAACAGGGACCATTCAAGACAACTGGCTTCCATGAAGAGATGCAGCAGATACCTGGCAAATTGGAACCAACAGAGTTTTTTGGGGGTTTTCAACCAGAAAATGCACTTGATACCTTAGCTGGATCTCAGACTTGTGGGAGCCTCTGCTGTCGCCGTTGGACAGTTGCTCCAGGATTTGAGTGGACGGCACTTCCCAGTTTTCAGTTCCGGGGCTTCCCACCATTTCTCGATCATCTCCACCCCATACCGAGCTCACTGTGCTCATCACTGACTCGTCGATCGAGTGATTCGTCTGAAGAACAGTCGTCTGCAAGCCTGATGAAGTCCTTTTGGTTAGTGATTTAATACATTTTAGGTCCCCGGTTCATTATACGAATACTGAGCTAAACGAGTATCTACAGCTAGATAATAATCAGCGCTTTGCAACTATATTTCCTCCTAAAGCACCTCCAAATAAAATAAAATTTCTTAATAACTGCATGCCTTTGTTTGCAGCTTTATTAATTTAGTTTTGCAATTAATTACTATGATATTCTTATCGTTTCTGGGTCTCAGTCAAAGTGTGTTAAAAAGTTAAAAGAATATCGTTTATTTCATTACGTTTCGAGAGACAAATTTACGGTTTCAAGAAGGCAAAGACCTAAAAGAACGTTGATTTTTACCAATCATGAGTTTGTGTAAATTTTAAATCTAAAATTTTGAACACCGTTCATTTCATTACGTTTCGGCGAGGCATTAGTAAGTTAGACTGACTGTGGGAAAGCTGTGAAAAATTACCTAAATTGGTACTAAAACCATGCCCGTTCTCCACTCCGAAGAACGGCAGCTTTCCATCTATGGGGCTCAACGGTTCGCTTCTAGAAGCCTTTGGAGTTGCGCTGCCCGAATCCAATTCGATCTCATCCGCCACCTGGCTGGACTGTTCCAGAGTGTCCACGGGGGTGGCAAGACCGCGTCCTGGCAAGCCCTGGAAGCTCATGTAGCCACTGTCGCCCACCCTGCTGAATGGATAACTCAGCACGTCTACTTTCAAGGAGCGCAGATGATCTTCCAGAACACTAACCGGGTAGTCGCTTGCAGGTTGGGACTCTGTAAAGCTTTCCTGTAGGAGGACATCTAGAGGCAACCACACAGACCTACTGAGTGCTAGAGATGTGGGAGGCGGATAAGGCCATTGGAACTCTTCATGCAAATGCTTGAGGGCAGCGACGAAGTCGTCAACTCTAGCTGCTCGATCTCGCTCTTTGCCCAGCCAGGCAACCAGGTGAAAATCTAGATGGGCAGCAAAGTATCCCAAGTCGGTCAGGCTGCGGTTCGACAATAATCTGCGCGCGTGCTTCTGCAGGATCACATCGATGAAGAATTCTTCGGCCGTGTTGCTCGGCTGGTTCCTGAACGAAATCCTCGTAAGCAAAATCTTGTATCGCAAAAGACCTTTGCGATAAGACAACGCGAATCATTGTTCAAACCAAAGTTTCATGATGCTTTTATTCGGAAATGGCCACACACCGCGATGTCTGTGTGTGTCACTTGGAGTAGGAAAACTTTGCTCTTGGTACCTTCTTGGACTTTATATCAGTCTTTGGGACCTATTTTTTATGGTGGACACTTATCGGTCATATCGTATACGCAGTGCGCGACACAACAAAAAGGGACTTTTGTGTGTAATTTAAAAAGAAGTAATAAATAAACAAACAAGCGAACAAACAATAGCACACAACTGACAAACTGCCACTGCTTCCTCCCGAAACCTTGAAGCGATACGTCCAGAAAATGTACTCACAATTTGGAAATGTTCCGCCAATGGGCCGAAAACGGTCTGAGGCTACTAAAGCGAGTTCGAGAGAAACTATATAAAGTGAAAATTGAGCAAAAAACCGTCAGCAAGCAACAGCCAGTACCTAGTTTCCGTTTTGGTGGCCACCACGTTCGGCACCGACTTCTTGCGGCCGGCATTTGGCGATTCGGGCACCACATTCATCTTTTCCACCGGCTTTTCCGCCACCTTTGGCGACACCGTTGTGCTGTACGATCGCACCCTGGAACCTTGCACGTTTCCCAAAATCAGGGAAATCTCCTCCGCGTTGGGGCTCACTGGAGGAGTTTGTTTGCTGCCCAGTTTGCTGGGCAGGATGAAGGAGTTGCGCGGAGATTCCACATCGTTCGGATCTGGAACGGACAAATATCCTGAACTGGCGCTCCAACGTTGCTTAAAGCGAAATTGTTACCGATTGCCCGCAAAAAACGCGCTAGATCCTTGGCCAGCTCCCATTTGGACTGATCCAGAGCCGTGTTGAGCAACAGGGTGGCGTATTGCCGACTAACTGAAGAGGTTTCCAGGTTCTGAAATATACAAGGAGTCTACTACGTTGAGGGTCTGGTACAGGAGGGTTTTAGAATCTCTACTTTAATGGGCAATTTCTAAGGCCTGTCTATCACACAGGTAGAGGACTCCTCCTTAGAGCAATTTCCTAGTTAAGAAATAATTTCACCAGGACTTTTTGACTCTAATTGATCTACGCAAAACTCTTCTGGACTCACCTGCAAAATGATGAGATAAGACGCGGCAGTTTCCAGCTGTTTTTTGGTCATGCATTCCTGGAAAAGATCCTTTGGCTTGCCCGCGGCCGAAAACAAATACGGCCACAGCGCGATTTCGGTTTTCCTGGCACATTGCACTACTGTTTGCAGGTAAACTGGGAATTCCATGATAAATTCGACCACGCTGGGCAATTGGGCGTCTGGAATCGGTTCCTTGCTGGTGGCCTCTTCCTCTAGAACCTGCAAACAACGAAAATACCATCACCAAACCCCGTACAATTAAGCGCTTGTCGTACCTCATGAAGCAGCAGTTCCAACGAGTGTGGAAAATACGGCAAACTCATGCAGCTTTTGGCGATTTCCCAGGCATGATAGCCGAGATTTCTCCTGATTAGCTGGCGCAATATCTGGTGCAGGTACACTTGGCTCTGGGAAATAGATGTACTGCAGGCTTAGTACAACAGTTCAAAGCATGCTTACCGTCCGTTGTAGAACGCTGAAGGGCAGCGAGAAGGGCGAGTGAAGGTCGGATGTGTATAAAACTGTGTCATTTTCCGCCCCTAGGATGATGGCGTCTTCAAACAGTATAGCTGGAATTTAGGAGATTAGCAGATGTTTTTTTTGGTGCTGTTCCAGTCACCTAGAGGGTAAATCTTCAGCTGGAAGGGCAGCATGATCCGCTTGGACATAAAGCTATGCTGCTTGTCTCCATCTCTAGGGTAGAGAGGCAACCACACCCTCATTCCATGGGAACCACAAAACAGCCACAGAGCCTCCGTGAGATGAACCTGAAGAAGCCGTTTCCAATGAGATACTTAGACTTTGGCTTTAAACCGCCCTGTATCTACCTTATCTTGGGTTCTCCTGGCCGGAACCCAGACGTTCTCCACGCAACTGGCCAGAACCGTCGGCATTAAGCAGGTGAATTTTGAGCCGTTGCTTGTCTCCCTTTGCACCAACAACAGCCGCCCACTAATGTTCAACACGATACTTTCAGCCGCCCTTTGAGACGCATTTTTCACAATTGCTTCAGTCCGCAAGGCCGTTAGGGTAACTGATACGATGCACGCAGGATGGACTGCAAGGGCTGAAACGTCGATTGCCTGCACTTTCTGCAATTCCACGTCTCCAACTGAAATCATCAAAAAAATTGGTTTTTTGTGAAGTACAAAGAAGTCTCAAAAATACCATATAGACACCAGCAAAGCAACATACCTGTGTCATTTTGATGCAAATGCCATATGCTGATCTGAGCATCCGACTTGAAAGTGATCAGCTGATCCTCCAGAACGTTCATCAGAAGAATGGGTGCTGCAACCGGCACGGTTTTAGCAAACTTGTTGTCTAACTTGGCCTCTTTTGAGTAGAACCGGATTTCATCTGAATTGTCCACAATGCTGTAACAGCCGAGCACTATGTAGTCTCGCCACCACAACAGCCCTCCAGCAACGATAAAGTCCTTTTCCTGGCTCTCGTTGCCGAAAAGCTTCCATCGTCTGGATTGGATGGAGTAGTGAGCGATTCCGGTGCGGCCTGCAATGGCTATGTTTTGGCCATCCATGTCGATTGCTGAGTACTGAAATGCAACACATATACTTAAATGTAAAGCCGCTGAAGCCATTCACTTACCCTGACGGGCCAATTTGTTGCAGAGTACGTCGAAGGCACGGGAATTACAAGCCATTGGCGCCCTTCCGCTAATGTTGTGGTGGAATTGGCGCTGTCCCCGAACAACGCATCCTCCCGATTAGATCGTTCAGAGAAGGTTTTTATTAAATTGTCGGCCGAATTCACATAGAGCCGGTCCTCGGCCTGCAGATACAAATGCCCCTGATGGCTCTACATTGGAACAGTAAGACCTTCCATCAAAACCCTGCGGAAATATTCACGCTCGTCTGCTCACCATGCACGGGTTTATTGTCATGGCACTTTTGGCAAAATCCAACTGAATCAGGCTGGATTCCGCAGGCGAAATATCGCCGTTCTCCACACCTGGCGCCTCGTTGCAGTTCTCCCGTATCATCCACAGCTGATAGCCTTCAGTGGCAAAGTCCTAAACAAGCCCAAGCATCAAACAGCAGTAAAGTTGTAATTTTTTAGCACTGACCATTGACAGAACTTGCAACGGATTGCTTTTTTGAATATCCACGTTGAGTCCGTAGTCCCAGCCTAGAGAGCACATCAGTAACGCTCCGAATGTGGACCACATGGCGATGCCCCCATGGCACCAAGCGGCTACCAGGGCGCAACCATCGGGCGTCCATAAAACGTTCCCCACAGCCCCTGGGCAGCCCGGATAGTCTTTGCTGCTTAAAATGCAGTTGTGAGACACCTCCAAACCGCCTGTACTGTCGTCCACATAGTAAACTACGCATTCGGAGCTGGAATTAGAGAATAGACGAGGGAATAGAAGGTTTGTAGACTGTCGGTACTCTCGGGTTCGGATAGATCTGCGGTGCTATTAAAGCAAGTCTCTTGCTGTTCCTAGCGAATTGTTAATCACACTTAAAAATTCAGCATCAATTTCTTTGACGATTTGTGTTTCCATATGAGGACGTAGGAACTTATCAGGCAAAACTTCCTTGAGTTCGATCCGAATCCGAGAGGTTGCCAACTTATTGTGGGACTCCAGGTATTTGCTGAAAAACCTACTTCGCCCTGCCGAACGTGATTAGGCGGTATTTGTGATTGATGACGGTACAAGTGGCGTCTTCGATGTTCTGCGCCCAGATGCCCTGCACTTGCTGGAAGAGAAAGAAGAAGCATAATCCAGAGCGTTACAGGAATAACTGATTTACACTGCCTTACATTGGGGTCGAATTTCAAGGAGGAGGCCGTTAGAAAGGCAGCCCGACCATCGTTCAGGACTATGGAAAAACCGCCCACCAATGGGGAGTACTCGATATCTACTATGTGGATGTTCTCCTCCACTATGGGTATTGCTGCAACCAACAGACGGCAAGTGTTATAGGTCAAATATTATAGTTTTCTGTTCACTTTTTCAGTTGCTCCTGTTTGTTGTTAGAAAAATACTTTCCAGTACGTGTAATAGATTAAGTAGTTGACCTAAAAAAGCAATTATCTCACCTTTAGATACTTGCTGATTAATACAAAACGGTATTCTTCTTAAGTCTAACGTGTAATCTCTATTCTGAGTGCCATCCCACCTGTACCTTAGCACATGATTTTCAGTGGTTGATATCATTATTTCAGTCATTGTTATACAGACGATGCCCGTTATCTTGCCATCCCATACTAGGGCTTCTTCACTCTAGAATTAAGCGAAAATGGCATTCTATCTTTTTTACATTTCCTGCTTGAGCGTTGATGTTTTTGCACACTTACTATTTCCAAAGATAATGGAGGGATTGTTTCTTTGATAAAAAGCTCAGCGCTGTCTCTTCGTAGATTGGCATGTGGTGAATCAGTCTGGACATAAAGTCCCTTTTGATTTGATATGACATTCAGCTTGTAATAGAGTAAATGGCCTTCTGAAGTCTAAAACACGCAAGTTGAAAAAATGTTTATGCAAATTCCTCGTCAAATGTAACAGAATCAGCAGAATCCTTTAATTGGTTTATTATAAAATCCTTAAATCGCCTTATCATCTAGATTTAACGAGATTAGGATAGGTGTCAAGGTTTAAAATGATTTGGTTAGCAAGTAGGAAGCAGCAACTAGGTGGCAATTAAGTAGCTTAAAGAATACGTACTGCAATGACTATTTTGCTAGAATCGGGCTTCCATTCTGCCGTAACGTTTGTTCCAAACTTCTCCAAAGACTTACCAGTTCTTCTGTGGTAAACTATGGGCACACAGGGCTGCAACAGGCAAAAGAACATGATTAGGGGCCTCGTTTTAGCCCGCTAGTTTACGCACCTTACAAAACCATATCGATAAAGAGTGGTCAGTGAGAATAGCCACCAAGATTCGGTCCCTGTTGCATTTGATTTGCCTCAAGGAGCCCTGACCTGAATTAGGGACTTGAACAACTTTCGGCCATCCAATTGGAAAATACATCTTTCAGGGTTTCTCATCAACTCATAACTACACACTAACTGGGGCCCTAATCTAATTAATTTTAATTATAATATATCAATAACAAACTTTCACAAAAAAAATGTTTTCACCTAGTTGTCATGCTGTTGTCAACTGGTTGTCAACTCAACAGGGTTGTAACAGTTTCATAGAAAATCTGCTTAATATTATCTGGGACTAGATTCGATGAATTTTTTTATGTATTTTCCATTGATTATCGTTAAACTGGGAGGTTTTCAGTAATCTCCTGGTCAACGGATGGTGTTTTATCTGCATGAGTTAGCAGGCCAAGTGGATTATTAAAAGACAGTGAAACTAACATGTCCTTGAAGGTCTGTAAAAACGCGACGTCTGGCATCGTGATTTAAACCTGACATTGATATAAGATAACCTATGGGCGTACACAGTTGACATTCTGATTGTTTATATCGCTTTTTATATAAACAGCAAGAAAAGATGTATTTGGCAAAGCTACAGTTGCTCTTATTTCGTGCCTTTAGCCTTCCAACTAACTGGCCAAAATGAAAAGTCAATATTTCGGCTTCTCTTCGTGCAGAACGAAATTCAATTCAGGTGAATCTAACTTTTCAGCTTTGGAACAAATCTCAAGTCCATAACTGACGAAAAATTGAATGTTTGCCTATAAACATCCGGGAAATTGGGGCTAAATGTCGGCTACGTTATCATTTGATGTTCTTTTGACCAAATCCTTCCGCGTCTGACATTTTTCTTCGCTTCTACAGCTATCTTTTGAGCTCAAAAAACACATGAATGTAAGACGTAAGTAAATAACGAAACCAATAAATTCTAAACGACCACCTAAGTGGGCATAGAAGCCGTGCAGATCAAGGTTGACATATACAGCAGCGGTAGGATATCATGAGGAGCTATTGAGGACCGTTCCAAATTTTTTTGTACAAAAGCTGACCCAAATTCCGATCATCCTATGATGTTTCTTTAAAAGTCTAGTTGAAGTTCAATACTGTTAAAGCTTCATTTAAAAGCATAAAAGTTCATAGAGAAGTACCTAATGCTGGCTGTAGACGTACAACAGTACTTTAGTAAGTTTTTGAGTAATGATGTTAGGGACGGGTACTGGCTGGGGATGTCCCGCAGGACCTGGGCTCTGGACCCATTGTGAGAGGGAACGCTAGTAGGCGGGTACTGGCTGTGGATGTCCCGCAGTACCTGGGCTCTGGAACTATTGTGAGAGAGAACGCGAGTAGGCGGGTACTGGCTGTGGGTGTCCCGCAGTACCTGGGCTCTGGACCCATTGTGAGAGAGATCGCGAGTAGGCGGGTACTGGCTGTGGATGACCCGCAGTACCTAGTGGCCAATTAAGATACTGTTTATCATGATAAATGCCGGTGACACGTTTGGCGCTTGTAGCTGAGTCTGACATGTTTTAATAATTCTCATCATAATAACATAAATCTAATTCTTGTTGAACTGGTTACTCAATTACTTTTTCTGAATTGATTTCAGATGTATTCTCTCGATCGACCCCCTGACGAACTGCCATTACACATTGTCTACCGTTTGAGAGTGTAAATATATGTTTTTATAGTAGTTGGTTTACTTATTCTAAGTATAAACGAACGCCCCTACATGAAAAACATCGATTTTTACTTGCTTACAATTTTTTTGCTCAAACACCAAATCAACGAGCTGAAAAATAAACACGCTAGACCCTAATGATCCCGAATAACTGTTACATTTTGAGTGGTCGATGTTTAACCAGCCGAGGAAATGCAATACAAAACCACAACGAAGTAAATTTACAAAACTTTTAATCAAAGTCAACGATAAAACTTAACGAACTCAGCGTTTATGATTTGCTTTTCTTGGGACTCTTAGCGGCGATATTTTTCCGTTTTTTGCCCTTTTTCACCGGCTCTGCATCGTTCACCTGTTCATCGTCTTTCGATAGAGCTGGAACGCTGAATCCAGGAATGGCAGGTTGCACCAGCAAAACTGAGAATTTTTCGTGTTGAATATTGCTGGAATCCAGCTGCAATCTGATGGTAACCGGGTCGAAAGTATGAAACACCACATCGCCTGCCCTTTGCGTTTGGTGCTCTTCATCGTACTCGAACAGCGTGGTTTCGTTCTTTTTTACCAAATACAGTGTGCATTCCAGACCGTACTTGGGAATCAGAATCTGTAGGGCGTTTTTCCTCACATACAAAATGTAGCCTTCCTCATCGTTGAGCTTGCCCTTGAAGAACAGATGAGTGTTGAAAGCTACTGAGGCCCTTCCGGCGTATTGCGCCATTCTGTTGCGGTAGTTCAAATTCTGGCACAGTTCGCTGGATTTCTGCTTGTCCAGCAAGTCTGGATAGGTGCTGTCCGACCCACAAATAACCGCCAACAACCGATGAACGATTATGTCGGCATATCGACGAATGGGGGATGTAAAATGGGTGTAAAGTGGGACAGCCAGGCCGTAATGGTAAAAGTCCTCCTTCTGCAATGTTCCGCTGGGGAAATAAACCGCTTGCAACATGCATCTGGTAGCCAACATCCTCAGCATCGTGTTAAGGTATGGGTTCTCCGGTTTAACTGCCCTGTCCAAAGAGTCTGCTAGATTCCTTCCACAGTCCACTTGAATATCGAAGCCCAAATGCCTGCCCGCTTTGACGAGAGGATCAAAGTTGGAAGCAGGGGGAGTGGGATGTCGTCTGAGCATCGCGCAGTCTGGAAACTCTTGCAGTATCTTTTGGGCCACACTGATGTTGGCCAGCAACATGAACTCTTCCACCATTGAGTTGGTTTGGTACATTTTCTTCAATTCCACGTCCAAGGGTTCCATGGTTTCTGAGTCCATCAGAATCTTGACTTCAGTGGAAGCCAAAACTAAAGCGCCGTTTTCTAGACGACGCTTCTTCAGAATCTTGGCCAGCTTGTTCAGATTCCGCAAAGATTCGGCAATGGCATCGGTTTTTGTTTGGTCATCTATGGTGAGTTGGGCTTCTTCATACGTCATGGCGCTTTTTGATTTGATAATACTCTTGTGGAATCTTGTACTGAGGATATTGGCCTGCAGGTCCATCTCCCATATGCACGAGAAGGCAAATCTGTCTTCGCCACCTCTAAGGGAGCACAAATTCGAGCTCAGCAGTCCCGGAACCATGTCAATGCGGGTGCCTACTAGATATACGGTGGTGGCTCGTGAAGCTGCCTCCGAGTCAATGGCAGTACCCGGGCGAATGAAGTGGGACACATCCGCAATATGGACACCCACTTCCAGCTTGCCCTCTTCAATGAGCCGACAATGAAGAGCGTCATCGATGTCTGTACAGCCGGGAGGGTCCACTGAGCATATATCGATGCTTCGCAGATCAACCCTGCGCTTCTCGTCTTCTTCCGTGATAATCCAGGGAAGTTTCGGCAGGCAGCTGAGCACTTCTTCGGAGAACTGACTGTGGGGCACGTCGTGTTCTAGCAGTACTACTTCGTTTTCCGTGTCTTGGCTGCCGATACGGCCCAGAGCTCTCACAAAGTGACCATGCGGGTACCGGGAGGATCTGTGGAGAGTTTATCATATAAATACCTGCATACACAGATAATTTTAGCAGTACCTTGGCCATGAGTCGATAGTAACAATCAGTTTCTGGGTCTTCAAGAACTCGGCTTGGCGAGTTTCGATGCGCACTTTCGGAATTGATCGGTTAGCGGGTACGAAGATCTGATAGAGTCCCTCTGAATTGCCCTGAATAATTCCACAATACTGCTTCCATTTCCTGCGAATTATTCCCACTACGCGGCCGGTGGGTTTGATTTCCGCTTCCTGCACAGTGGTGTTCTTCAAGGCTTGTTCTTTTTGTTCCACGTCTTCGATGGACTCTTCAGAAACGCCTTCGTCCTCCAGAACGATTTCGCTTGGACTCACCCAGTTTTCCATTTTGAAAACTTCAACAGCTACAATATCGCCGTCGACTGATCTGTTCAAACCGTCGCGTCCTTGCAGTAGCACGGGTTCTGTAAAGCCATCCACTGAGACGAAGCCTTCGAGGAAATTGTCTTTGGAAGCTCTGAAAGTTCCTTGGTGTAAAACGCCTTCCTTAATCCCCTTTAAGAGGGCCGCGGTGGATAAGTGTGGTGGGAAAATGTCTTTGGCCTCCTTTTCGCTGTGGAAGTCCTTTCTGGACAGTTTATCCTGCAGAATCGAGTTGTTTTCTAAATGCTTTACATAGTCAGTGATGGTACAGGTGGGGATGTTATCGGCCAACGCCAGTTGTCGATTCTTTGCATCATCTGTGATCAACACAAAGTGTCCCTTTGGCACGTGCCCCATGTACCAAGAGGTGGCTTTTCTAATACATCGATCATTATGATCGTTGATTAGTTCGTTTTTGTCCTCAGGCAGGAAGGTGTCTTTGTGATGGTCATTGACAAAAATGTAAAAATGTCTGCTGGGGTTTTCCAGCACCGCGTTCAAGCGCTTATAAATCGGCAAACTGCGATGTTTCACCTCCTTATAAACCGTATGCAGAATAATCACGTTGCAAATGATTGGCTCTTCCAGCACATCCATCTGGTCTAAAATCACGTTCGTGTCCAGGATGATAAAATGCTCGAATTTGAATAGAGAACACTTGTTGAGGTGCACTTCATTCAAGTGGCTGGAGGCTTCAGCGTTGCAATCATCACAGCTGGGTATTCCGCAGGAAATGTCGTCTCTGATATAGTGTTCTCGAACGTGTTTCAGGAAATTCCCGATTTTGTTCTTTTTGATGAAACACTTGGTGGTAAACATGGCGCTTTATCTTGAAGAATATCTGTAACAAAAATTGTTGTTTATTCCAATTCGATTGGTGTCGTGTTCGATTAACAGACAAGCCATTCTTTGTTCAAAAAAATTTGCCGACAAGCGTAAGAGAAGACAAATTTCTTCCGTGAAAAGAGTTCTAGGAACAAAAGTTCCGGTCCCAAAAGAATGCATGATGTTGCTAATGTGTAAAATTAAGGGGTACTTACCAGGTATTGAATAAGTGCACTAATTTTCACCTTATTGGCTCTCTAAAGCTGGTTAAACATTAATAAATAAGAGCATACATTTAAGGGTTAATATAAGCAAAATAATGCACATGTTCGTAGGTTATACTGAATTGTCAATTTTGACAAACATAAATTTTAGAATGCAACTGGCCAATTCGGCAACGGCGCTGAGGACTAACACCTACAATACTACTGCTTAATTGTGCTTTTGAAAATTCAATTATTAGGAATTAATTAGCTTCCGTTATTCAAAATGGAGTGAAAGCCAGTTTTTGAAATTTTCCGCAAAAGCAAAAAAACTGTTGAAAAATCTTATAATTTTGGTGCAGTTGAGTAGGAAAATTGAAGCAAGTTAGAGTCGCTTCACGAATGTCCGGACTACCAAATAAAAAACAGTATTTCTAATATATTAAATAACATCTAATAAGTTGACAATAATGCAGTTACATTCCCTGGCTAGGGCGTTAAATAATCAATTCCATTCAAATGGCCTTCATCCCTTTTCTGTTGTTGGGCCAGCCGCTCTCTATCGTACCCATCGACTCCCAAACCCAATCGCTCTATCGCTTTTTCTCCTAGACGCCCATTAAGCTCCTGATACTGTCTGGAGCGCCTAATCCCGATTTCTGAATCGAAGGGCCACTCTACTGATTTATGTAACACTGGATGTCCGGCTAAGTTGAACTGCACCAAATCCCTCACTATAGATATGGGGCTCGCATTTGTTGCCGTCAACACCAAAGCCGTTATCTACAAAATTAAATCTTGCCTACTACTTGCTCATTTTTCCGGGAAATGAGCAAAAACGGGACGGAAAACATGAAATTTTGCAATAATCTTGCACCACCCTTGCACAAAACGACGATAATTTTTCTAATTTCATAGACAACAGAAGACTGTATTTTTACTATATAACCCCCCCTGAATTTAAAGCTGGATCCGCCCCTGATTGGATTGGAAATTGATAAAACTATCCTAAATATATCAGAATAATCCAAAGAAACTATACAACATACAACTTACGAAAATTGTTGCGAGGGTATTCATTCTTGCGGATGAGCGTCAAAACACCAAATAGCAGGTTAATTCGCCACAAACACGCCGTCTTTGCGCGAAGCGAAAGTGGTTGTAAAGTGTGCGGCCCTGAATTCTACCATTCCTCATGGGTGGAATGGATGATTGGGAAATATCCGAGAAAATGTATTTCATAAAGCAATTATTGACAAAGCGACAGGTATTGCATTTGCAGTCTCTTAATTGCGCAAGCCGCATTAATGATGATGGCTTTTGGCGACCCAATAAATTAATTGCGCAAAAATGTGCCAATAGTTGGATGGCGAGGGCGGTTTAAGAAGCGCGCGGTTGTAAACAAATTTCTTTGAAACATTTCCGCCCCGAAAAATGGAGTAAAGCAGGCCGCATTTGCAGTACTCAACGGTTTTTACATTCTTCAATTGGTGCGTACCTGCAGAACCAACTGGCCGCTGCCAGCACCAGCGGTTTGCCTTCCACTTCTTGCGCGCCAGCACTTTCACTTTTCTCCTGCGTGATTCTATTCCCGTCCGCTGTAGAACGGTGATACTTGCGAGCGCGTACGGCCCCTTTATAGTGAATTGTTAGGGCAGTGGCGCAAAAATGAGGGCAGTACTTTTGGTAAGTAACGGTGAAGTGCTCAGAATTTGTGAACTCAAGCTACTGCGAACAGGCGGAATTACTGAGGGTGAAACATTTTGTAGGTTTCTTTTCTGATCCTGCTCTGTGCAATGCTCTCAGATGCTATACAGCCCAAGGCGCCCAATTTCCAGTACTTTGAACGGTAAGTGGCAAAGTTCCGGAAAACTCCAAAATTTTGGTCAGATATTGGCAACTTTCACTTGTGCAAGTGAGTGAAAGTGATCAATAGCCAAAACAGAAATAATCGCGTGAAAAAGGTGTTTCACTGTTCTAATATTTTAGGCCCAAGTATCGATACCCTTACTACGACTCAAATGGAGTAGGACGGCTGCTTTACGGCTATGGAGACGACAAACTTTATCAGTACAAAGTTTTCACCCCCTTGGAAGGCATCCACTAAACTCCGTTAAGTTTCTTCACCGATCTAGTCGATTAGTTGTAGTTGCTTGATACTCAGAGCCTAACATAAAATAACATTTAATAGTAAATGTATAAATAATAAAGATAAAACAAAATATGGTTCAGCTCTTAGGAGTTAAAACATCAGCGGTTTGTTCTTTGTTTGATTGATCACGTATGAGGTGAAGCGCTTTAAGAATTTTGGGTACTCTCGCTTGTACACCGCCCTCAGCACTGATGCTGGTGCCCAACCGCCCGGGTTCACTGCAAATCAATCAATTGCTTTGCAAATGTCCGATTTACCCGGAAAACTTCTCACTTACCCACTGAACAATAGGTGATTTTACAGGACACATTGTTTCGGGTAATCGGGGCCCCATCCTTGGGCGGATGCACTCTGGTCTGACACAGAAGACATACCGTTAAGTATATCCGGACGCACTTTCCCACATTGGCCTAAAGGAGAAAATGAGCCTTAGACCTTTTTTCTCTTTGCCATCCTCAGGCCTCTCTTACCGGGTGTTCAGGGCTTTCTGTGGAATTGTTCACAACAGTCCATATATCAGGACCGTCGCGGTCCTGATCGTTGGGCAATTTCCTCATGTGCGACCAAAAAACCACGTCTCTTTGACTGGCTGGCCAGATTCTCTTGTGGGTTTGCAGGAAAACGAGCGTATCGTCTGATATTGTTTCCAGTACGGTCATGTGTTCCAGGGTCGCTAAAATAACACATTATGGGATTTTTAAAGTGATTGACTGAATCTAAATAATTAAAAGGAACACGCATTGGTTCACACAGCAAAATCGCAAGTTAAAGGATTCCCTTTATCTCCAACTCGGATCCTAATGAAAATTTGCCAGCTCAAACTTAAAACCTTTCCTTTTCCAGCTGCTACTCGTTCTAGGCGGAGTTTGATCCTTTTATTTAACAAGACCGCAAGTTAGGGGAAATTCAGAATTACAAATGAGTGAGGGATTCCACACTTTCTCAGAGAGAACCTCAGTTCATTGACTGAGTTTACAAGTAAGAGTAGATAAAATACATAGTAAATCACTCACTCATCGAATCACACGAAAGAATGGAGTGTCAAAAAGTACTTACTTTCCCAGTCGTAGCGATACTTGGGGTTAAAAAAATAATCGCACACTTCGTGCCCCGTAATGCCCTTGACCACATGTACGGCTTTCAACGGATCCACCACCATGCCATCGACTTCTTCCTCCCGCCGGTACATTTTCATTTCGCCGTCTTCTGCAAACAGTTGCCAGCCGGTGCCGCATTCGCCGATGCCCATTCTAGCCATGGCCACTTGTTGCTTCACCAAGCGATCCACCTAAAAAAACCTCGAGGTTCAGGTCTGGAGTGTTTGAAGGCCATGACGAACACTTCTTACCTCCGGCCACAATCTGTGCTGAATAGCTGGAGATGTTGGGGGTGGTGTGATTGGGATTTGACCGGTTTTCAATTTTTCTCGCAATTCTTGTTCTTCTTCCATTTTGTCTAGGCCCGATTCCACTGCGTCGTAGAACTCATCGTCCGCGAGGACACTATGAGGTCCTTCCTAGAACAAAAAAACACGGTTGTAGGTTTTGTATTCAGAAAAAATCTGGATTATTTGCGCTTTTGTTTAATGTACTAGTAAATTTTATTTCGTTTTTTTTGTGGATTTTTTACGGTTTGTCGATCAGACTGTTTGCAATTGAAATTCCGACCCACTTAACACCTAAGCACGTCTATGGTAATTAAATGGCGCGCTAGATTAGCGGAAAATTTCCCATAAACTTGAAAAACTATGTGCAACTAAGTGGAAATGTCTGTTTATTTATAAACAAAGCCATGTTTGCTGCATCAATATACTTAGCCGCTTATTCGGATAGTTTTCCATATAAGGGATATATTAACTTTCTTCGGTATGGCCGCTGCTCTTTTAAAACTACACATTAACAGTATTGATTGCGATTAATTAAGCAGAATTCACGCAGGTTACAACAGAACCAATTCGTCGCGCTACTAAGTTTCTTAAATGGAATTGAACTATATGTACCATCAAGGCCGAGTCAGATCAACAATTTTATCAAATACTTCGCCGATTTCTCAATAATTTGCTTTTGTTGGGGACTTTTTTAAATGTTTCTAAACGGAATTTTGAATAGTAGCTAACTAAAACCTTAGCTACCTACTTGATACTCAATTGACACTCAACACAAATGGATTTAACGTGTTGCCCTCCACGCTAATGTTTCCGCTGATCTAAAAGTGTGTATGGTGTATGATGGTACTCCTATCGATTCAGTTCATCAACCGGGGTTTTAATCAGCCACAAAACCAATTAAGAGCAGCTCAAGCTATAAAACACAATTGGAATAATCACCGTGAGTGAGTAAGTCGGCAAAAATGCCTTGACGAAAGATGTGTGGAAACTGCGGTTACAAAAACATTTGCGGTTCATTTTAGTTTAACGCATAAATTTGTACAACTTGCCTGATAAAAATGTCGCATGATAATAAATGTTTTAGTCAACATACCCTTTTAAAATAGCGAAATTTCATGTTAGTTTTTCAGAACTAATCGAAATGAATGGGACTCACAACGCGACGGCACGCAAAATACTCTCGAAGCGAACGGTATCACGCTCAACTAACTACTGGCTTGTTTTATTTATTCAAGTACACATTGTCCGACGTCTATTTTTTTATTCATGACTTGTCATCAATTTACTGGGTCTATGTTGCCGAGCATATTTGGCGGATTACTACAGACAGCCATTTAGTACAAGGCTTTACAACAACACACTTAACTGATTTGATGCCAAAGATGAGGCTAGTGAAGATTTGAGATCGATAGGAAACAGATCTTCTAGCTGAAAAACTGTATAAAATATCCTGAAGATGACTAGCAAGCAAAACAGCAGGGTTTATAGATGGCTTTGTTGCCATCCAACCAGGTTTATGCAGGGTGATGGCGTTTTTCCCATTACCATTGCGTAAATACTTGTTGCTTTACGCAAAAACCAACGAATGTCTCAGGGTAAACTGAAAGGCGAATGGAAAAACGGAATCACTTTAATCAATCGAGGACCGTTCGAAAGTGTTTAATTTTTGTCAATTAACAGACCTAAATGCCATAAAAGTGCCAGCTGCAGCGGCATTGAACGCATTCGGATTTCACTTGGGCAATGTTAACAAGCCAAAAATGAATGGAAGCAGCCTGATTGAAGAACTGCAATTATGCAATATGTGTTGAGAAAAACCTCATAGACATGATCACTTACCCACCTGCCGACAGTTGGATACCAAAGTGAGCAACAATTTAAGCCGTTGCTTTCTGGATTCCATTTACCCAGAAATCGGACCAAATCAACGAGGGAGAGTAAATCGAATTTCGAACAAACCAGGCCAAAAAAGTCATAAATGACACCGAGACCCGTTCCAAGTCATTCTCACCTCTAGATCCGGGCCAGGATGCACCGTTCTGGACTTCTGCAGCTGCTCGAAGTACTTCTGAGCCAGCACTTCGCAGTGCTTCCTGCGCTCCTTCTCTCTGTCGAGCCGCTTTCTCCAGGACTCTTCTCGTTGCACCACCAGCTCAGAACAATGCGATAAAGTATCGATTACTGCCGCAGTGGTTGTTTTGAATGTGATCGACTCTCCTTTGAAGTCAACCGCCGGCGGGCTCTCTGTATGAAAACAAACTGGAATGCTTTCATTTGGTAATTCGGGTTGAAGAGTCTTACCTTTACTTTGAGATTCCTTTCCCAAGTCCAGCTCGACGCACGAATCAAAGTACTTCTGCAATGTGTCGATCTGCTGGCTAAGAATGTCTCTGTAGGTGTCAATTTCGGCGAGTTTTTCCCTCAAAGTTCTCGAGCCTTTCTTGAAACTGCTTCCAGACGCGGTGCTGTGGTTGTTCGACTGCAAGCTCACTGACGAATCGTGTCTTTTCAGGCTGGTTTCTGATCCGGTCGCATATCCAGATTCAACCTGAAAAACGTTTTCTGCTTAAGAAAAATCCTGTTATGTCCTTAACCCCTTCAAAGTGTGTTTGATTTGCTATAGCATGAATAATTAACAGTAAACCTGCGGTTGTACATGTCTAACTTGCAATACTAGGAGACACTTGTATCAAATATCAATGCTTCCAGCTCATATAGTTTCAAGCGAGGTTGACTTTCCGCAGGTGAAACTGATCCCTACTTGAACCTTGAAAGCATTTTACACGAAATGCAGTTATAAACAATAAATCTCGTACCATTGGTTAAGCACTGTAATGGGCAAACATATGCTGGCCCTTTGACTCAAAACTAGTTAAGGGTTGCGCCTGAAAAACATATCGAAACAAGCTCCCCAAAGCGCTATTTTAGTGAACATATGTGCACAGTGTTGCATAGTGGTATTCGAAGATTTGCCTGCGTCTTACCCTGCAAGATTCCAAAGCCTCCAGCCAGCCCTGCTTAATTTCAACAGAATCAGCCCGCAGATACCAAACGCAGTCGTTCACAGCCACATCAAATCGACACTCGTCGAACTCGTGAGGCTGCAAAATCACAACGGTTTTCGGTTGCTGGGACACTCCCGGCGCCTCAACTTGCCTTTATCACAGCCTTGGTGAGCGACAGCGCTCCCCTGCAGCCATAACCTCGTTCGTGCTCGCTTCTATAGTAGGATAAAGTGCCACTTTTCAACACAATATAACGATCCTGCCAGCCGTGGATGTAGTTGGTCCATTTGCTTAAAATGCCTGCGAATTCCGTTTGATTTTCCGCATCAGAATCCTCACTACTATGCCCATCCGCCATGCTACCTTCGTGGAACTTGCTTTGGGGGGGCTTTTCGGCTGCTGCGCCTATTTTTACGGCTCTGGAATGTTCTTGGGATTATTCCGCGTAAATAATGGAATCTATCATCTTAATTTGCATAGGAATTTGGTTTATCTCGACCAAGGTGCGCATCAAAACACTAAATCAAAACAATTATTGGGTAAAAACTTGACGCTTGCATAAAACGTCATCTATGCAGAGACAAGGCATAAGTAAGGTTAACGATTGCAGCAAGCAGCCTTGCCGTTAATCTTTTCTAATTCACTCGTGCTCGGCAACCAGCAAAACAAATTTCCGAATTATTTACAGGGTGTTTCATAAAAATGGCGGTCAACTTTTAGGGGGTTGTACCGATTATTGATATTGCGCCAGCCAATAATAATTTCTGTTTAAAAAACAGGTTTTTTGACTATTTTCAACACAAATTTTACTGTAAAAACCTTTTTCGGGCTGATAACATTAGCGTGCATTATTTCTATAAATGCTAATTTTTATATTTTTATTAGGATCCTTAAATTTGTACGATTTTTGGGGAGCTACATTGCTACAGTTTACGCAGTGCTTTATCAGTTATATCAGTTAAAAGTCCCTTATTCTAATGTAACGTAAGTCGGGGCGCTCATAACTCCGCAGTTATTGTTCTTGGAGGACATTAGAACGTATCCATCGTTACCCCAGTAGTTGGACCAGCTGTTCTTCACCAGCCAGTAGTGGTTTCCATTAATGCTTCCATAGCCCACGGCCAGCACTGCATGATCCAGCTCATCCACTTTGTTGTGACTAAAAAACTCTCTGTTTTGCTTCCTTTCTCCTACAGCGGCTGCTACTTACCATTTCTCCTCGAAGTAGACGCCGTTCGAATAGAAGCTGAACGTTCTCTGGCTGGCATCAATTGCCACACTAATAGGCCCGTGTTTGAAGATGGCCAGTCGGAGCGCGTTCTCATCGTTAGTGGTCACATTCGTCCAACTGGACAGCTTGGCTACTTTGGGCAGTTTATCGGCATGGCAATATCCATCCTGGAGAATCAGGGATTTGTTAAATGCGGTTTAAAGTCCAGTTCTTGCTCACCTGTCCTAAATACGGCCCATAATCCTCTTCAGTTGGAATGCCACCATGCTTTTTAATCCATTGGTAGGCCCTGAAGTCTTCTCCTCCATCGCATCCATTATTTCCAAAGCTGAAAAAATGTTTTTTTTATTCAATTTGATCAATAGCAACAAGGGCGGATCCAGGGGGATCATGATACCCCACCCATTCTCTATTCAACGATGCCAAAACGAATTCTGTGGCTTGAATGGTTCTTGAGAAACTTCGAAAAAAGCATCGTCATGTTCAAGTGGATTTGGCAACTCAAAAAACCACGCAAATCTAAAACTTCTCGAATTCAAGCATTTTTTGAGAAAACTGCCAACATTTCCTTATCGATGGTCCACTTTCTAAAAAGGCCATTTATTTATGCCTAGAATGACGTACAAATGAGTGTTCTTGCTCATTTTGCCTCCGAGAAATGAGCAAAAACGGGACGTAAAACATGAAATTTTGCAATAATCTTACGCCACCCTTGCACAAAACGAYGATAATTTTTCTAATTTCATAGACAACAGAAGACGGTATTTTTTCTACATAACYCCCCCTTGAATTTAAAGCTGGATCCGCCCCTGAATAGCAACCTATGTTGAGAATCTTTTAGATAACATTTCAGTTTCTAGATGTTTATGAAACAGAAAAAGCCCTATTGAATTTAATGGTTTGTATATTCAACTCACCCCCAAGAGCAGTCGATTAAAGCCTGCTGCGATAGTCGCACTAGATGGCCTCCGTTTTTCAAAAAGAATGCACCTTCTACGGTGCCGATGGTGCCAAATGACCAGCAGGAACCACATACCGATTGGTCTGAAAAACGAAGTTTAATTTGAGGAATTTTCCGAAAAGTTTCTTTACCTTTCACGGGGGTAACAGCCCCATATAGCCTCCAGTCCCATTGATCGGGCAGGTTGGAAAAGTCCTCGCTGGTATAGGGGAAGGGTAGACCTCCATTGTACTCTTTGGAATAGGTTTTGCCTCGCAGGGCTTTAAGTTCCGTTTCAGTTTTGTCGGCCAGATGGTTAACGCTCAAAGAGAATCCTGCACAAGTGGGAGAAATAATCATGTCCTACTCCTCATGAGTAACAAACTCACTCTCAGCTCTCAGTCCTGTAACTTACCAACATTCTTCCTGTTGTGGGAATGGATAAAGCGTACGTTTTGCCGGAAAATCTCCATGCGAAGCAGCCGCTCATTTTGGTTGGTGTAAATCCTTCGGTGCTTCTTCGTGAACTTGTTGAATTCGAACTCAAGATGCCCAGTGGTTTCGGGCTTGATGAATTCCGCCATCGGGTTGAAAGTGTAAATGTGCTTATCGCCCGGTCCAGAAAATCCTTGGCATTTCAAGCCTAGAACCAGTCAAGTTCTGGAAATTTTGAAACCGTCGCTAAAATCAGAGTCTTACTGGTATCGATGCTGAATATTTCCGAATCAATCGGGCTTATGTCGAACTCGTCATATCGCAAGAAGTAGTGGTCGTAATGGCTGCCCAGCAGGGAGTTGAAGCCCCTCATTTCGTATCTGGAAATTGAGGGTTTTCAGTGGGAGTTTCGCGAGAGTTGCTAGATTTACCTCACGGGAACTGCGATTTTTTGGTCGCCATCTTCTTTGAAAGTCACCCAAAGGAAGTACTTGTTTTCCTTCTCACCAACTGTGGTGGTCAGGTTCCATTTTTGTGTTTGAATGCCTTCGATCACTTCATCACCTGTAACAACAACTCGGTTAGTGGCAGAGCGATTCTCAATACAAAATTAAATAAGCAATTTTCCTCAACGTCTACTTTACAGGAAGCTGATCTGAAGACATGAAGCACTTAGTAACTTGCCAAGATATTCAAATCCTTTAAGCTCAGGGAGGACAGTTTGGGGACGAATGGGTTGTTCTTGGCTTCCATTCACTTGCAAGCAAGTTCTAATATTCACTTCTTCTTCGGTTGTAACCGGAGCAATTTTCAAGCTGGTTCCCGACCCATCCTTGCCCAATTGGTACGTCTTGACCATGTCCCCATAATAATCGATTCGTGATTGTTTATTTGGACCATCGTACCTAAACATCAATTATAATAATAACAATCAACATATGTATAAGTTCAATATTTGTACAAGATTATTCGAGAAATGTTTGGCTCGCCAGAGCATTACTATTCAAGTTATCTTGGATTTTTTCATTTTCTTCTTCGTTATTCACTTACCAGGTGGAGAACGGCTCAGCGAGTTCAGCGTAGGGAATAAATATGACACCTTTTACTGAATAAACGTCGCTCCAAACGGGCAGATCTATTGCAGAGGCTGAAAAAAATATTTTAAGTACTGATCATCTAGGACTTTGTTGAATCATTCGTTCCATACAAAATCAAACTTGACAATTGCACAATAAAAGTGTGTTGTTGGTGCAGGCAAACTAGCCCTGAATCTACATGGCGTTCAATTGTCGTGGGAAAGCAGACGCCTTTCCTGTGCTCTCATTGGTTGTAATCGGGCGTCCGTTGTTATTCATGTGATGCGTTTAAGTGAAAATGACCGTTTGCACCAATGCGTTTATATGTTTGGTAAAACCAAAAGTTCCTCCGATGGAGTTCAGTGAATACCCAGTTGCGCAGTAATAGAATGGAAAAATCACGCACTTTGAACTTGATTGCCAATAATGTTAATGTTTTGTTGTCGATTCCTATCTAGTCAATGAAAAACGTACTTTGATTGCTCCAGATACTGTACTTACCAGTGAAAAATGCTGCGGCGCAAACAAGCCCCTGCAGCCACATTGCTGCGTGTAAAGTCGGACTTTTTAAAACAACCGTCGTTTAGTTATTGCTTGAGTAAACTAATTGAATCGCGACTGATCTACTTATTTAGCTGATGTTTATTTTCCTCTAACCCCTCGCGGTTTTATCAAATGACCCCCATTAGCTGACTACCGCAAATGTGAACCAACTACAAAGCTTTGCCTAGAGAAACGAAAGAAAACCACTTCCAGCAGGATTGATTAATCTCCTCGCCACTCACTGTTTAAAGCTTTCTTTATCATCAAGTTTCTTTGTGTATTGATCATTGGCGTACTATTGAACGTTCCGAAAATCAATTTTTCAGCTTGTGATATGTAAATTGCATCGCTGGCAGTAGAGGGCAAGAACTTTCCAAACTATTCCTTTGGAGTGAAGGTGGCAAACGGTGGATATTTTCATTCAGAATTAGTTAAGTTTTTAGATTGGGTTTCACAGGGTTGCAATCTACTCGGGAAACTTGCTAAAACGTCCAAAAGACTTTCTCATTGGAGATTTTGCGTGGAAGACGAGCAATTTTGGTTTGGGTGTTAGTTGCGGTGACGCCAATGGAAGCGTGCTTTAATTACTGTTAACAGTGATTACCAGTAATGGATCTTATTTGTGGTTGGGTCAACGTCGAAGAACTTTGTCTATCTTTGACGCTTCTCGTCACTGAAACTAATTGAAAACAATGCAAAATTCCCACAACTCTCTAATGCAGAATTAGTCCCCGGTTTAGTTTACGAAATTAATAATTCCAAATTTCGAGTCATGGTTCTGCATAAAAATTCTATACACATAGAGTCTTTTTTGTCCCAAAAGATGCAAATGCAACATTAATGCTAATATAATTCGCATTTCGGTTTTCAAAACTAATTATAAAATTGATTTCATCCGCTGATTTTACTATATACAGAGTGTCCCATTTAACGCAATTAGTGTCACTATGTGCGCAAGACAAACAAAATAAATTAATTTGAATGAAGAAGAAGAATGTACGCACATAAATGCTAGTGAAAATAAAACAGCATAAACACAACATGCACACCAATTTTTTTCCTCAAGAACTGATGAATGTTTTAACGCTTTATAATTTATAGCAAATTCATTTCTAGGTTTCAGTCATTTATTGTCTCTATTTATCAATCAAAATACGTTTCGGTGTAATTTTACACCATCATCAGTTTTTATGTGTAGCGTTGTTGCTGCTTTAAGCCTTGGCATGCATTTCTGAAATTGATTTGGAATTGAAACACAGTCAGGAAAGTATATACAATAAATTATAGCTTTAAGCAACATGTTTTAAATGTGAATTGGTCTTTGTAGTTTGTGTAAATTTTAAATCTGATGATGGCGCTGCTGTCTCGCCGAAACGTTACGAAACATTTTTTGTTTCACTCTGTGGCTGAGACCCAGGAAAGATAAGAATATAATAACAAGCACACGCAGTCAGGAAAATAAATTAAATTATCATGTTTTCTTAATGTAAAAATGCTTCATTGGTTGATCATTCTAATTCATGCAACGAAAATTAGAAAAAATCATTTTCTTTTGTTAATTCAATGTTTAGTCAAAAGTGGTAATGTTTAGGAATTAAAAAATAACAGTGCAACAAAATATGAACTTCTTTAAACTCTCTCTTCAAAAATGTTTTTCGTTTAATTTATTGTGCTTTATTTCGTTTATCTTTATCAGCTAATTATACTGTTTGTTCCATGGACAAATTACATGAACTATTTCATAATCAAACGGTGATTAGTGTATAGAGATCGTGACTTTTTATGCACCTTTTACGTGCGCAATGGCTTACTCGTTTAATTGAAACCGATAGAAAAATTCCCAAATTCACATTTACTATGCTTGATAAATCAAACTCACTGGTAACAATCATATAAATTAGTGTCTTTATTAATATTATATTACATTTATCCAATTTAGGTCTATATTTTACATTCGTCGATTTACTATTTACAACAGGATTTGCACTTAGTGTTACAACAGTTTAGGATCTCTAACATTATTGATAGGCTCTATGTTCAAACAGTCGTAGTTGGACTATACGGAACGGGAAACTCGGCTTTGGGGTTTTTTCCAACTGAATTCCTATATAGTTTAGTCAAGCTCAAAGTCACGCCATTTACAAGAAACATTTTATCAAAGTAACATAGATTTCATTGTCGTAGAGCACTTTAGACACGAAGTTTACAAGTTATCTAGTTCACAGTCACATTGTCTGGAAAAACAGCAAATTTCTCTTTGGAACCACTTAAACGCAGCTTTCTGGACCTGGTATATTGTCGGTCAGGATGTGTTGTTCCCTCCTAATGGTTGCAAATGATCCATAGGACACGTCTCGAAGACGATTTCTGGGTCTCCCGAGGGTGCTGCTGATGTCACAGTTGGAATGCGACTGAAAATGATACATTCGCATTAAACTTTAAATTAAAAGTATCGTCTTAAGTTAAAACTTGGGCCGTTTTTTAAACACTTAAAGCCCTGAAGTAGTGCATCTTTTTCGTGCAAACTTTGCTTAATTCTGCTACGCCAAAGCTTCCAACAACTTTCCAACTAATCCAAAGCACCATGAAAAACTGCACTCAGAATGGATTTTCAAGGAACTAATTGATTTGCAAATGAAACTTTTTTGTTCACAGAACCGACTTTGCTTAATTCTCCTCAAAGGCCTCCAACTTTTCACTTCTTTTCGCTTTTCTGTAATAAATTCCCCTGCAAAGCCCCACGTAAACTTCCCCAAACAGCCGCAAAGACATTGTTTTAAGCAATAATAAATCGGTTAACCCTCAGGAAGATAGAATGTTCTAATGATGCGGTGCTTTGGTACTATTTATCTAATTGTTTTAAGGATTGTTTTCATACATATATGAAACATTGCCGTTGGATGCCATTTAGATTAAGCATATTTTAATGAAGCCCTGTGGTACTATTTAACTAATTGCATCTTGATGATTGCTTTTCATACATATACAGGGTGTATATAACTAGCTCTCAAGATAGAGAACCTGCAATTGCAACTTTAGTCTTTAGAACTATTTTCAATTAAACGTTTTTAAAAATCATAATTCGCTCGTTTCACTCACCTGTAAATTGGAGAACGATTTTATCTGGTCCGTCACCATCCTGGAGTCTCCCGTTGGGGTAAACAAATCGTTAGGCCGTGGAAGCTCGGGGGGAGTGACGTTCTCTCCACCTGTTTCAAGTTTGATTACTGTAGGGAGAAAAGCGTTACTCAATCCGGGCTACTTGGATGCTGTGTTGATTATGGACGATGATAGTGATGCAACAAATACAGCAAATCCGGGAAATAATCGATTTATTTGAGACTAGAATTAACTGAAAACGACTATCGACTAATCAACAATAACAGCGCTTAAGTAAGGAAAATTTGAGACACTTCAAAAATGCATTACCGCTCTCGAAGCAGGCTTTTACAGTTGGATTTCCATTTCTCCATAGTGGCCTGACTATCGTTCTACGCCTATGAAACTAATACAGTGCGTTTCCATATTCGTGCAACCTAGCGAAGCATAACAAAATATATAAATTCCTTTCAAATCTTGTTTGTGTTTAAGTCTTTTTAGCCAAGTGGTTTTAGATTGGCGAAAATGTGTTTAGTGGGCGCTCAAATTTGCTCGATGGTCAAGACGATTTATGACGAAAAATGTGGTCATGTAAATTTCCGTTTGTATCTACAAATACCTCACAGCAAAACACAAACAGGTTTAAAAACGAATTAAACAACAAAACTGGCGAAACTAGAACAATACAATAACTTCCCTATCTACTTCCAAGTTTTCTATAAAAATATGGGTTGCTTGACTGGTTTACATACATTTAGGACGGATTGAACGGTACATCAAATGGGCATTCTCATATACAACATACATATATTTAATTTTTATATATATTCTATTATAATAAACATATACTAGCTACTGCATTCCTGTAAAGGGCTTTGGACGAAGTCTGGGGACTACGGGTTCAGATTAGCATTGCTATTAATCGTTAATTGTGCAAATTACCACGAAGCAGAAGTTGCACCAGGACAAACTCCTTAGTCTGTAACTCTCTCAATTTAAGCTTATTGCTAAGTCCAAACTTCGCCCAACGTCCATGTTTAGTTACTGATTAAGACCTAATCATCCATCATACATTGTCGAAATGTTGAAATGTGGTGAAATGTTTGGGGTGAGTGTGGCAATGGCCGGTATGTTTGTGGTGGCATCGACACGTGCACTCACCTCGAGGAGTATTCAAGATGTCCGGCTGTCTTCTGGAGTCATTGGCGAGGTTGTCGTGAGAGGGATAAGCTGGCGAACAGTCAGCTGCAGGCTTCACAGTGTAGGCAACTACATATCGATTGTCACCTGCAGCAGGTAGAAAAAGCGTTTGCTGCGCAAATGCTGGAATTTTCGGAAAGTACCTGTATTGATCTCCAACATGGAGCCCTGGCGCGACTTGGAAGCAGGCTTGGAGGCATCCAGCGCGATGTGGTGGGGGCAGTGGTTGCGACCATCGCAATGTCTTTTTCGTCGCACCGCAATCACCACGATTACCAAGACCGCGATTCCAAGCGTCAGCAAGGAGCCAGTGAGGAGGCCGGCCAGAGGAACCAGACTCATGTTGGAACTGCCATCTATTGAAACGGGATTTGAAAAATCCTCTTCTCCCACATCTACCAAGCTGCGACTGACCTGTTCGCTTCTCTGCATCGTTTAGTGTGATGTCGTCCAGCACCAGCTTCTCGCTTTTTCCTTTTGCGTTGCTGGCGTAGACGAAGATGCGAAGGGATGGAGGAGAAGGTAGGAGATCGCCCAGGTCCAAGTGGAACGTTGGGTTCTCTGTGTCTGAAACTGTTTCAAAGACCATTACTGCAGCCTCAGACCTCTGCTCGGATACTAAAATGGGGAAACAACGCGACTCTTGTAGGTAACATGATAATAACATCACTCTTGCACACAACTAAGCATTAACACCATTATTGAACTTTTAACAACATGTGTAAAGTCAACTTACTTTCAATACAATGACAA